CATGAGTCCAAAAATTATGGAAAAGTAAAAGAAAAGATTCTTTCATTGTTTTACAAACCCTCCCCCAGGTCCCCTCCACCATGCAGCCCTCGCTCGAGCACTGTCATTTCTAACAGGGGACAGGGCTGCCTTGAGGACTCAGTGGACCCCCTCCCCACATCAGTGATAATCCTGTGAATTCATAGGAAACCTGAGATTGCTGCCCTTCTGTGTGATAGGATGTGTTCCTAACCTCAACGTTTTTGTAAAGAGAAAATGCCAGGTTCTGGCAAAGAAAGGGCTTTGTGGCTTGAGTAAGTAAGCTCTGAGCTCCCCATCGAGACTCTTGTCCATCTCCCGGTTTCCCTGACGGAGCCAGTTTGGTCTGCAGAGGAAAGGAGGCCCCACTGAGGTGTTTTGGGGCTGTTTCTCTCTCTCTCTTGTTTGGGTGGACTTTGGCACAAGACCTTAGAAGGGCAGCTGGTTGCTTTTGAGACTGGTGTTGCCTGCCGCAATGGTGATGTGCAGAAATAAAACCAGCCTTCCCCAAATCTCCATTTCCCTCCTCCACCCCCCTGCAATTTTTACAGAACATCTGGTAGGTGCCTGGTGGACTCAGGGCAGGAAGTGGTCCACACGAGGTGGGCAGCTACGAGGGTGTTGGGAAAGGAAGCTAGGCCAGGCTTGGGTTGGAGGCTGGTGGAAACCCTGTCACCTTGGGGCCCCTGGACATTCCTGTGAACACAAGCAGAATACAGAGTAAGGAGAGGAAGCCTCAGCCCTGGCAGAGGCACCTGGCACTGTGTTGGTCACCATTGTCCTGCTGTACCCGTCCAGTGCCCCGGTGGTCCCCTCACAGAGCACCTGGCCATGTGTGTACAGACACCCCATCAGATCTGGTGGAAATAGACCCTTCAGTCTGAGCACTGCTTTGGAGCTTGGAGCCACAGCTCTGAAGGGCTGCTAGCATGCCTGAGTTTGAGTTGCTTGGCCCTAGGAATCACATGCAAGGTGTTTTCTGAGGATGTGAAGCATGTCTCTTTCTTTTTTTTTTTTTGGTGTGTGTACCGTCAAATCCGATCTGACTGGTACAGGAGGAGATTGCCCCTCCTCCTCTAGCAGAGCATCTGTGGATTTGAACCGCATACCTCTGGGATTGCAGTGCAGTTTCTTGCCACTAGGCCACCAGAGCTCCCTGTGAAGCATGTCTTTTTTTAAAAAAAAATTTGTGTATGTGTGTACCGTCAAGTCAGATCTGACTGGTACAGGAGGAGATTGTCCCTCCTTCAGCAGAGCATCTGGTGGATTTGAACCATGTCCCTCTGGGATTTCAGTGCAGCTTCTTGCCACTAGGCCACTAGAGCATGTTTTTTTGTTTTAAATTTTTTTTAAATTATTATTTTTTGTGCATGTACTGTCAAATCAGTTTTGACTGGTACAGGAGGAAATTGTCCCTCCGTCTCTGGCAGAGCATCTGGTGGATTCGAACAGTGTACCTTTGGGATTGCAGTACAGCTTCTTTCCACTAGGCCACCAGAGCTCCCCTCAGAGCATGTCATCTAAGGTCCACATCATGGACCTGAACTCCCAGCACTGGGCTCGCTTCCTGAGATATAGATGCGTGCTTTCTCTGCTTGCACGGTGCCTGATGGAATCATCCTGCTTTGTCATTTCATTATAATGTGCAGAGTTATAAATCATGGCGGAGGCTAGCGGACCGTGGTGTTTGCTTTCCTATTTCAATTTTCTCTGCCCTCTTTTTTATCCCATTGCTTAAACTGAGGAACCCTGTGGCATCGTGAGTTGAGTGTTGGGCTGCTTGCTGGGCTCCTTGCTTTGAACCCACCAGCTGCTCTGCAGGAGGAAAATGTGGCAGTGTGCAAGGATTGAGAGCCTCGTGCGAAAAAAACCAGCCAGGTCACATTCAAAACTTAAGCCACGATTTACGGGCTCAGAACTGAGCAACGAGTCTGGAGTCAAACCCGAACTATTTCCTGCTGAGTCTGTTCTGATTCGTGGCGCCTCCATGTGTGTCGGAGTCGAACTGCAGGGTTTCCAGTGGCTAATTTTGTAACTGGAGATCACCAGGCCTTTCTTCCAAGACCCCTGGAAGGAGACTTGAACCCTCAACTTCTCATTATACGAGTGCATTAAACTGCACCACCACCCAGAGACTTCTTCCCATGTTGTCAGGGGTCCTGGAATTGCTCTGGAGTCACAGAAACCTCACCTGACAGTGCCAGTGCAGAATGGTCCCACGGGGTCGTGATTTTTACAAGGAAGCTCTGGTGGCCTAGTGGGTAGGGGTTTACGCTGCTTGTTCAGATCCACCAGCTGCTCCGTGGGAAAGAGATGGACAACCTCCCCTGTTTGATTTACAGCCTCTGAAAACCCCCAGGAGGGTCAGCTCTGAGCTGGGTCTGAGTTGAATAGCAGTGAGTTTAGGTTGAATTTTTACAGGAGCTGTTTGTCCGCTCTTAACTAGCTCCTGCAAATCTACCCTTTATGTCCAAGGAGCCCAGGGAGCAGAGTGCATAGCATATGGGGGTGCCAGCTATAAAGGTTGGTGGTTCTAATCCACCAGTCTTCACCTGTAAAGGCTTACAGCCTTGGAAGGGTCCCCATGAGCTGGGATATACTTGACAGTAATGGCTCATATTGCCCAGGAGGGGAGTGGTGGTCCCTGCACCAAGACACTGATCCAGTTCCTGCTTCCCTCACTTTTCCTGGTGGGCTGTGAAATGCCTGTGACCTCTATAATCTATAATTTTGTTCTAGATCAAGAAAAGCTTCAGCTTCTGGTGTGTTTGGTAGAGGTCTACTGATCCAGCCACTCCACTTAGTCACTGGTAGATTAAGGCCACAAGAACAAACTAAAATTTGCTGTCAAAAACATGCTCTATTTTTAGACCTTTTTATTGTGACCTAGGTTAAAGTTGATTTTCCATCTGACTATTCGTACACTCTGTCAAAGACAGAGACTCGCTGAACCCTAACGGCACTCTACCCACTTCCTGTCTGTGGTACTTGTTTCCCTTCGTCCTTTTCTGTCTCTTCTGCCTTCTAAGCTTCCCCCCACCCCGACCTCTTTGCAAATGCTGCGCCCTGATCTGGGGCACCAGGTTTTCCAGGTTGGCTAAATGCCAGTGTGGAGACCAGCTTTATAGTTTGATGCCTTTAAGTGTGAAAATATATTTCTTTTTAACGAAGGAACCGACATTGCCATGGTGGTGGTAGCATTGCTGCAGCGTTCCTGACTGAAGTGCTCGATGCTGCGTGGAGAGCATCTTGGTTTAAATGTATGCACTGGACTGATTTGTGTTTCAGTCTCTTCTAAACCCCAGATAGTTTAGTTTGTTGTCTCCATCCCCTGGGAGTTTGTGGGACCTCAAAGCTTTCCCTCTCACCTTTTCCTTTGCTCTTTTGTATGTGAAAGAAATTGTATTTTTGTACCGTATCTTAGACCTGGAAGAAGTCTCTGATCTTCAGCACTGTAGACTATATTAGTGAAGATGTTATTAAATGTGAAAGTACAGTAAAAGGACTGTAGAACTGTT